AGGCCGTCTCTGCTCCGCCGAAACCATCCATCCTCACTTACTTATGAAAGCCCCTCTTCCTTTTATTTATTTATTTTTTATTTTTTCATGTCTGCCCCCAAGTCTTCCCTTCCTGCTCCTCTTGTCCTCTCTATCTCCAGGTCCACCTGCTCAGCTTCTTGTGAGCCGATGGCTCACAGAGGAAGAGTTTCATTTTTTTGGAAACCTGCCATCGGCCATGATATGACAGGTCAGGGAACAAATCAATAGTCGGAACATCAATAGAATATTTACATCCTCTCGCCAACTGCTCGTGACAGGGTATTCACATCGGCTCACAGCGATGCTCAGCGCGTCCCGCTCAGATGAGCCGTCTGCGAGCAGGAGATAGGGAGGGTACGGTCCGCCTGCCTCGCGTCACAGCACCGCCACCGCCACTCTCCCCAGAGACCACCCCTGTAGCACTGTGCTGGCAGCTTACTGGGTGTTTGAAAAAAGAGCACAGCCTACCTCCAGAAATGAGCAGTAAAAGTCAAGTTGATGCATCGGCCAAGGTCCAAAAAGAAAAAACAAAACAAACAAACAAAAAAAAAAAAACGAACTTCTTGAGTTGATTTTGTAGTGTTCACAATGTTAAATATATCCAATTTGAGTTCTTCTGCTCTTGCTTCAATACAAATATGCAATGCTACAGAGAGGGAAATTAGCCAGGATCCCAACCGGCACAGTGGTTAAGGACATTCAGAGTCTGTTCGGATTTTTACAAAGTTTATACCACGATGGGAGGGGGAACAAAAAGGTGTATTTAATCTGTAGCATGCACCGTCCCTCCTGACAGATTCATTAATCTCTTAACACTTTGAATCTTCCCGCCCACCCCCTACCCTTTCCTTCACGTCGCTTTCCAAATCTGATCCGTGTTTCTGGCAGTTAGCTCCGGCAACCGTTAAGTGATTTACGAAGGACCGATCCCCGATCAGATTGATTTGTTTAATCAACAAAGTCCCTGCGGCTGCTTTGGGAGAGAGATCCTCGCCAACCTTCTGGCGAAGCGTTGAGATAAGGGAGGATATCGGAAGAGGGGAAAAGAGAGAAAAAAAAAGGATGCTCATCACGAAGGTGTAATTCTACTCTAGGAATGTAAGTGAACCATCTGTCCATGCTGTGTGATCATGTTTTGACCTCAGAACTGGATTTTGTATTGGATTCTACCACCTGATGGACAGTGCATATACAGTATGACAATTGTGCAATGTGATATATCATTATATATCTTCACTACTCACTTACAGTGTGCTATGAAAGAGATAAATATTGTTCTATGTCATTTTGTTTGCCTTCTTACGGGCCTTATAACCTATCCGAAACAAGACCTTAGGCTTGCTTTGTATGTCGTGCAATTTAAGTTTCAGTAAAGGAAGTTGAGAAACGGGTGAGTCGGCTGCTGGTGTCTGTAGAGATGGCTCCCGGTGAGATTGTCTTGGAAGATTAACTCTCATGCCTGGCACAGCATAAAGAAATGGTTCCCAGGCCATGATAACCTCAGGTCCCGTGCTACACCTATCCACCACCACCCTCCTCGCCCCCTCATTCACCGCCCCGTCAGATCAACACCCCACACACATACACACACGCACACAACTACATACACGCGCACGACACAAATGCACAATCACTTGCTGGCCCGTTCTGCTGCGGAGAAGAGAGATGCTATCTAACAGTGCCTTCCAGCATTCCACTAGTGATTATCTATTCAGTTTTCACTGGCAGATTTGAATTAGTCATGTATTTTCCCTTCGGTGCATTTCTTCCTTTCTCTCTCCTTCTCGTCCACACTCTGGGAATTCCTCATCCCCCTCCTGCACCCCACCGAACCCCTCGACTCCAGCCCCCCACTCCAACTCCCAGTGCACCAGAACTCCCAACAAATCCGACGATTGGTCAGGCCTTTCTCCTGCCTCCTCCTTCCCTCCCCGCCACCACCCACTCCAGTAGTTACAGTGTTGTCTGACTGAAACACTTTGAAACACTTTATTATCGTTATTATTTTGTGTTACACTCACATAGCTGCAATCAACTTGCACAGAGAGGAAGTTTGTTCTAATTCCAGCTACGTAGAGTTCCATTTACCTATATATCTCGCAGAAAGAGGATTTGATTTGAATTTAGAGTTAGGAAACCGATTCACATTACTCGAGTTAGACTTCACATTTCAGAGTATATTATTAATAGTGAGTTATGAATCGAAAGAAGTCATCTATTTTAACTTTTATCTGCTACACTCTGTAAATAGTGTAAAAAGAACAGATCATATATTTGGATATTTTGCGTTGGAGACGAATGTTGTTCCAGTTCTAGCGTGCGGTAGACCTCAGTACCCAGGTAAATGCATGCTTGTGGCATCCAATATTTTGCATGAGACTTAAGGCAACTCTTAACGGATTATTTACGTTCATCGAACTTCCGAACGCTTTTCTTTTCTCTTCTATTTGTTTGTTTCCTTTCTTTCCCCTCCCCTCATAGCGGAACCATTCATTCGTGAAGCCATGCCATCTCACTAAAGGGAGTTGTTTTCTCTGTCCACCTGTATCCTGCTCACTTCACGCTCCAAAGTCGTAGCCTGTGTTTTGTTTCGTTTTTTTTATTATTTTTTTTTTATTTATTGCCACTTAGAACAGCATGTCAGTCTCTCATGCTGAATCAAACACCTGTTAGGTGAAACGACAGACACCGATGGTCTCCATGCCCAGATAAAAATGGGCTCTTCAATTCGTAGCTTTTTCATTTGGCGCGCTTTTCTTTCATGCTGCACTGCTGGTTGCTTTTATTTGACTTTATCGTGTTTTGTTTGGAGTGCCATCATCAAGCGGAGGCAAAACGGGTATAATTTTTCTATGACAACAGTGAACCAAATAGGAGTTAACTCTGATCGCGGCTGTTCGTGTATAGATTTGTAGTCGAGCAGAAGACATGAAAACACGTGGAATCTCCCCCCCTCTCCTCTAGCTGAAGCTAGATCCAGTCATTAAAATCATTCTCTCTAGTTTAAGTAATGACTTGACATGGAAAATCTACTACTCTATTTATTGCTATCAGTATTAGGGTCATTAAGTTTGGGCCAAACAGTTTGAATAATGTATATATTGGGTTTGTTTATTCTTATACAACTATCAATCTGACCTTTTAGGAGTCCTAAAGGACAGCCATCTGTCCACTTTGAGGTCTGTTTTTTTTTTTTTTTTCTGTCTCTGCCCATGTAATCCATGTTAGCGGACAGAAATCCATTGGAAAACGCTTAGATTTTTGTCATTCTTGGTTTTTATAGACCAGAGTTCACTTGAGCCATCCACGTTCAGCACAAAGTGCCGAGCAAAAGTATGAAAACATCTTGAACTTCTGCACATTTTGTTACGTTATAGCTACCAACTTTGATTGACTTTGTTGGGATTTTATTTGATACACCAACGTAATGCGCTGTGTTCTTGAGAGGTTGAATGATACATGCCTTGCGCAAATAAAAATCTGAAACGTGTGGCTGACATATCTGTGACACGCCCCAACCTTCATAAATTACCTAAATCACTGGTGTTTCATTTTCATTTCGGGCCATTTCAAGATCACAGCTGTCCTCAAATTGCCAGTTGTAGCAGAAACTATTGATGAAACTACCTATTAACAAACTGTTAAAATATTAATAAGTGGCTTTCTTTACATTCAATGACAGCATCTTAAAGTACTAGTAAGCATCTTTACATTTATGTAATTTGGCAGTATACAGGAAAAAAATTGCTTTAATTTAAAATCTGAGAGTCAAAAAAGAAATATATTATTCAACAACACCCATAAACTTTCTCATTTGTACTCCTGACCAAAAAATTGCCTTTTGGCCGATGTGCGGCGTAATATTTGTGAGGAACAACACACACCATCAACAGCAAAACATGGTGGTGGCATCATCATGCTGTGGAGATGCTTCTCATCATCAGTTTTAGAGTATCAGTGAATATGGACGGAGCTAAACAGAACAAAAAAACAGGCTTGAAACTGAAGCGGAGGTTTACCTTACATCAGGACAACCACAATGAAAAAGCTAATATAAAAAACGGCCCAGTCAAAGTCGGGGTCTAAATCCGAGTGAGAATTTATCGCAAGATATTAAAACAAATGTTTGCAAAAGTATGACGAACTGGGTTTTTTATAGAAATGCAATCCACACTGAATAAATAAATAAATAAATAATTTGTAAAAAAAAAAATAATAATAATAATTCGCAGTGTACCATGCTCTCATCACTTCTCAATATAGCATACCCTTGTGTTGGACTTTCAGATAAAATCCCAATAATATACAGAGAAGTTTCTATTTGTAATGTGACATCATTTGAAAAAAGTACGAGACTTTTGGAAATTTTTGCCAGGCACCGTCGCCGAATGTTCAGTCGTAGTTCCTCACAGCTGATTATAGGGTCCTGTGTTGTTTCAGAGTAGTCAGGGTGCAAAGTCTTCAATGAGCCATATATTCATGTGGTGTTTAGTGACAACGAGAAGACTTCAGTCCCCACACCTGCAAACCTTTTCATTGTATATTACCATCAGGTTTGAGGTCCGGATTTTTTTTTTCTTTTCCGTCACAGAAAAATGTACTCCACATCTTTTGACACCATATGCAAACAGTGTTTTGTTTTTCTTTCCTTCTTTCTGCGTTTCTTTCTTTCCTTATTTCTTTCTTTCTTGCTGGCCTTTATTTGTTGTAGAAATGGATAAAAACCTGAAAAATAATGCCTATTCAATCCAGAAACTGTGAATGGGAGAGTGGAGATGTCAACTGTATGTACATTATATGTTTTGATGTAATCAGAAGCACTGGGAATATGTTGTACTTCGCTGTAAAGAAAAAAAAATAAATCCATATCTGATATAGCTGTACTTTTGTTGAAAATAAAACCTCTGCAGAATGCCGTGTCGGGACATCAGTGCGTGTGTGTGTGTGTGTGTGTGAGAGAGAGAGAGAGAGAGAGTGGGGACGGTGGGGTTGCATTGTTATTGAGTTTCCTGTCGTGTGACATCACCTCCTGTTTGCAGGAGCCGCTTCCCACACATGACACGCTCACTCCAGGAGACATTACAAAAGGAAAGATTAAAGGGCATGAGATAAACACAATCGCGTCACAGAAATAAAAGAAATCAACACACTCCCAGCCACAAACGGTAGCTCACATATGACTCCGCTGCGGTGAATAAGTAATGGGAGTTACGCAAACGTCTCTCCCTCTTGGCTACGCTGAATCGTAGGCTGTTCACTCCGCTTCCTGATGTTTTGAAGTCCAAAGATGCAAGGTTTTTTTTTTCTCCTTCTTCTTCTTTTCTGCTGCCGGAGATCTGAGACGTCCTGGTGCGTGTGTGTGCGCATGTCTGTTTTTTCAGTCGGGTCTAAATTGAGTGGGGTCTTGAAGCTGATGCAAAAACACACCATGGTTGGATGATCCAAGCTGCCCATGAGGAGCCTCTAATGGGGACAGAAGCGTTGTGCTGTGTGACTGTGGTCTCTAGTGGCCGGACACGGTGTTACACTTCACACACATTTTTTCCCCCCCAACATGGACTCCATTTGGATAATCCTTTGTCCTAATTGGTGAAGCACACAAAGAGATCTAAAGAGCCTGACCAGCCCTCGTGATGTTTCAACAATGAACTTTTCCAGATGCTGCAACTAGACTATGACCACATTATTCAATATATTTTCTATTTTATGAGGTAGATTAAAGTAGCGCATGATTGAGGACAGATTGGAAAACGATATAAATAAGATTCTGAAATGCGTACGCTGGTATTTCCAACATACCTTTTAAAAAAATTGTGCCAGAATATCTTTGACCAAGTCCAACTGGGTTTGCAAGACAGCAAGATGAAAATGGATCTTTATGTTCTACTTTTTGTCGAACTTGAGCTTGTGCTATAAAATAGTGCAAAAGATGTCAGTGTTTTGGAGATGAACCCCAACAACAACAACAACAACACGACTGCAGCTGCTACAACAGCAGCAGATGGTTCTACCACGCATTGACTCAGGGGTTGAATAAAAACAATACCACATCTTTAACATTTTAATTTGCCAAAGATGTAGAAAACCATGCATCACTGTTCACCCCCGCCCCCCCCGCCCACATTCTAATTATTCCCTTTTGTGTTTTACTCTGTCACTCAAAATCTGACTAAAATCCACTAAAGTGTGGTTGTAGTTCCAAAATGTGAACAAGACAAAACCGCTGCTAGTTTTCCCCTTGTCCTTTTCATTGAGGAAATTTGAGGGGAAAAAAAAATCAAGCAAGCAAAACAAATGAAAAAAAAACTGAAAAAGCGGTAAACTCAAACTCAAATCACTCAGGTTCAGCGTTTATGTGCTTTAAGTAGTTCCTCAGGACCAGAGGTATGTCCAAACTGTCTATTGCAGGGTCCTTGTCGGCAAACGGGATGTGTCTTCGGATTGCCAGCCGAGCCTGTGACATCAACGTTTTGGGACAAACTGTTTGGGTAAAAATGACAAGTGTGAACCATTTGCAGAAGGAACTCTTTTAATTTAATCCTACCAGAAGCTAAATGAGAAAGACTCACCTCTCTCTCTGAGCAGCAGCAGTAGCGCTTCATTCTGCTTTGTAGTTTTGTCAATAATGAGTGTCGGCAGGTAGACGTCTGCCCCGAAGTCTACCAGCAGCTGAATGTACTCCACCCCACAGCCGTAACGGAGACACACCTCCACCACCGTCTTGGGTTGCTTGATCCTGGCCAGCATCTTCTCATCCGTGCAGTTATAGTTGGGGTTGGCGCCGTGGAGCAGGAGCAGCTTAAAGCAGCCCAGGTGTCCATAGATGGCTGAGATGTACAGGGGCCCTCTGCAGGCTGTGGCGTTGGAGGCCCACTCGGGGACCTTTGGCCGGACGTCCACCTCGGCTCCAAACCGCAGCAGCTCCCGGAGAATGTCTGCGTCACCCTCCCTGGCGGCGGTCAGCACCGGGGAGCAGTTGTTGTACTGGCTGCCGTTGGGGTCGGCTCCCGCCTTCAGCAGGGCCGACGCGCAGTCCAAGTGTTTCCCACTCACAGCTGTGAACAGAGGCGTCTGGGCCTTCACGTCCAAAACGTCTATCTGGATTTTGAAGGAAAGAGGGGGGAAAAAAAGAGCAATGTGACTTTCTGTGAGGAAATTCAGTTCTTTCAGGGTAGAGCAAGCATGAAACCGAAGCCCTGCATTCACACACCGATTCACCGCAGTGAGGATGTGAGGTTAATGCGACGTCCGCCAGTAGTGGCTTGCCAGCCATGACCTCACAGTACAGTCCGGGTTTTTCCCCCTTTTTGCGCAGTTGTTTAATTCCAACCAAGTATACTGCAAGTCTTTCACGAAAAATGGTCAAACCTTTGGATTTCAGCGATGCTAGCTCTCACCTGCAGGTGGGGGCGTTTCTTACTTCCACTACAATTTTGCTTCAGACTTACCAGATGTCAGGTTATGACCCGAGATTTACATGGCCGCCTACAAAAAAGTGACCCTTGCAATCAAACACAAGCACAAATATTGTCAATAATTCTACAGCAGCACCACCAATCAACGATTTTGATTGCAAAAATCACTAAATCGTGGAGGGACTGCTCAATGTGAATAATATTTCATTTTAAGAAGTTAAAGAATGGTTAAACTTACTTATTGAATGCATGGACTGCTATTTATGAATATTTTAACAGTTTGTCGATGGGTTTTTATCAATACATTTTGGAACATGCATATCACAATGTAACCAATTGTCTGGAACTATTGAGTTGTTTCATAGGCCTTTTTTTTCCTCCAGAAATATGATTTATGGACTCATTTGTCTTTAGTCATATAGCAGCGAACAGTAATGTCCAAAAGTTTGGAGACTGACAGAAATAACCGAGGATTAGTGTGTTTCCTCCTCAAGGAGAAAAAACATGGAGGGAACAGACTGAAATACAGAAGGACACACCACAATTGTTGTCTGGGAAAATGACTGTCTGTGGAAGAAAAAGGTGAACGCTCGCGTTAACACTGAAGCCTTCAGACAACTTATGTTTGGGCTTGCCTCTTGTTATGTGCAAGGGAGTGACCTCACTCATGATTTTTGCCTATTAACTCTGCCATGAGTAAGGAATGGGATCAAAATGTCCTACAAGAGCAACTTTGCTCAATGATCCGGGAGCAATTTGATGATGATCACGGATCTTTCCGGCACAATGGAGCTGCATGGCGCAAGGCAAAGGGAAACGACAAAATATCTAAGGGCTCAAAAATCCCTGAAAATATTGGTGGAAACGCGTCCAAACTCAGCAAAAAAAAAAAAACGTGTGACGCTTTGCCTCGATTTTGATGGATTTCTTGACAAAAAAGAAGAACCCCGCGTTTGACAAACGTAAAATATTTACTGTCAGAAATACCTGATTAAACATGCAACACTCCAAAGCAGTCTTAAACTTTGTGCTGCACAGCCCAGCACCTGCCAATCGCATGCAGTGTCGACGTGAGCAGCTTTAGTAGTTCTTCAGTTCGTCCAAGTTTGGGGAGAGTTTAGTCTGCGCAAGCCCTGTGCATGAAGCCAAGAATGTTACAATAAAAAAAGAAAAGAAAACAAATGCAGCTCATTGGGAGGCTTCCTCAGCACAATGAGCTTCTAATGAGGGGGCAATATGCTAAGCTGATGGTCACCAGCAAGGACAGCAACACTGATAAAAACTGCTGATTCACTCAACAGGCTCGAACTAATCAGTAGGGATGTGGATACAAAGTCATGCAGAACACAAATTGTTCTCAAACTGTGCCACAAATTTGGTACACAGAAAGAAATCTCGATGTCGATTGTTTCCGAGGCAAATACATTGAAACTCATTAAGATAAAAAGCTAAAAAAACAAAAAAACAAAGACAACACACACACACAAAGAAAAACCCTCCTGGATGATGAGCTATTCAAAATCCCTGTGATCTGTGGTTTATCAGGAATGTCTGAGAGAGAATCAGTGTCACAAACAGGAAGAGGATGACAGAGGACAAGGGACAAACAAGTGCCGCTGCCTGCCGCCCTGCTGCTTTCCGTTCACCTCTAGAGCTGGGAGTTTTAGATCTGGGAATGACTTCAAGCTCAACTTCACGTCCTTCATAAAAGCAGGTGAGATTTTGTAAATTATATGCTCAGTTTATCACTGCAGGGTTTTTTCCCCCCAGCGTCTCATGAGCCTGGCAGGTCACCAGACTTTACTTGCCCCATGCCCCCACCAGGTTTGTTTGTTTATTGACTCTAGGTTTATTTATGGAACTGTAGCAGTGATCGTATCTCTGGTGAAATGGATGGAACTACAATGGCAACACAGAAGGGTCAGTGTGTGAACATGTAGGGCGAATGAAAACTCTGCAACCACTTCCTGTCTTTACCGGTCGACATGCTGACAACCAAAGTGCAAAATGTGTATATTTACCATAATTGTGTGGTTTTTTTTTCTATGTGCCTTTATTCCGACTTTATAGTCGGTGTTTAGGTATAATCTGGTCATATTTTCAAATTTTCTGCCTCAAAACCACGGTGACTGCTGATGCCTCCGGGAATAACAGGTTTTCAGGGGGACACCCTACACTGCAAGCTAATAACGTACATGTAAAGTGAAGGAGCCTCCAAAGTAGTTATGGGACGTCTGAACAAATTTGCACTGAATTTAATTTCGGGGTATCAGGGAGACTTAATACAAAATTTGAGTAGTAGGGAAGATTTTCCCTACTACTTGTATGTTTTTTAACACTATTTAAAGGGACGGTTATGTAGTTTAGAGGCACGTTGCGCTATAAACCGACATCCAGGCGTCGTTTCACAGCGCAGTCGTTCAGCTATGATACCTTCAAAACGACCCGTATGTCAAAAATGACCTAAAAGACGTTTGGCATTGAGATTCGCCGCCTTGAAATTGCGCCTCTGTCTCTTTAAGAAGCTTCTACTCTTTCCGGCGCTCCGCCCCCCTTTAAACGCGTCCTCGTAACGCTTCTCGTCAGTAATAACGGCTCGCAGGAAGTTCCTGTGACGAGCTCAGCAGACTCTCAGTTCCACCAGGTGTTTGCTAATTTGCTATAGTAGATGAGGGGTGGAAAAAAAAAAAAAGAAGAGAAGAGAAGAAGAAGGTGTGGGGGAGGGGCGCTCTGTGAGGCGGAAGCTCGCCTGGAGACTGGAGCTGTGTGGAAACAGGCAGCGTTTTGTGAGGCATGCGTGCAACACGCATGAAAAGAATTGCGGCGACGCTCTCCAGGTACGTTTCTGACGAGGGAACGACTTTAGAAACGTGACACGAAGCACCGAAACGTGGATTTCACTTAATATTTCCTCCCCTGCCGTCGTCGAGCTGCAACTTCTTTCTTTTGAAGTTTCTGCTTCGTATCGGCTGCAAATGCTTTTCATGACAAGGCAGCTGTATTTGATTCTGAGGTCAAACTGTATTTATAGTTTTGCCTTCTGGGGAGCTTTCGCTTCATTTTTCAACTTCTGCGCAGAAAATATGACATATAATTAAACTGCATTCCTCAACCAATCATGCGGCGGCTATTTAAAATAATGATTTATTTTCTTGCTTTTGTTGCTCCAAACATAACCGAGGCATCCGAGACGACTGTACTTTTTGGTATTAAAAGGCACTCGGGCAAACAAAGTGGAGCAATTGCTTCGCTGCGTTATACTTAGACGTTTTGATTCACAGCTTGTGTGAAATTATTTATACAAAGAGACCTGGAGATCGGTGCCAACTTCCTTTTTCCATTTGAGTGTTTTTCTTAATTGGGTTGACCGGTGGGGGCAAAGCGCAGCATGCGATTTATGCCACTGAAAGCAGTAAAACACACCCGCCGACGGTGACAAACCTCCGCCCCGTGCTCCAGCAGGAGCTCCAGGCACCTCAGGTGTCCCAGGGCAGCGGCGGTGCGCAGGGGGGTCACCGGGACCCCCCAGCCGCTCGGAGCGTTGACGCACCGCCGGTACTTCTCCTGAGCGAGGAGCTCGGAGAGCAGGGCTGCGTCGTTGGCGCCCGCGGCGTCGTTCAAGGCCCGGGCCTGCTCGCCGTCCTCGTCGTCCTCCTGGGGCTGGAGCAGGGAGAAGATCTTGGATATGTCCATCAGACTCATGTCGACGGGCCGGCCCACGGCCATCGCCACACTCCGAGCAAAAGAAGGGGTCAGGACGACTTCATCTGCAAATCGGTTTTGATTTACTCGTGGTGGTCAGCTTGATTGCTTCTTTTCTCTCTCTCTCTCTCTCACTGCGTGTGTCAGAAGGACACAAACTTCACAGATGACTCAGAAAAGACGAGACCCCTACCTCCAGTTGCTCTACGCCCCACTGACGTTGGCGTTGTTCAAGTAGGAAGCGAAGACGGAGAGGCCCTCCGAGAAACGAGTTGTAAAAAGCGTAGTATGCCCGCCGTGTGTGCATGCGCATGTGTGCGCGTGTTAACAGTATGGGGGGTAGAGGCTTCTTACGAGTTGGGGGTCTCCTGGGGGGCTAATTTTAGGCCACGCAGGGGCCTGGCTAAACTTCCATTCTGGGAGAGTGAAGGCTCAGGTTTATAATTAGAAAGGTGATACAGCTACGACACTGTGATTTCAGAGCGTGACTTACTCCTCCCTCCTTCCCCACAGAAAACCAAAATAAAGAATCGTCTCATCGGGTGGACCGATTTAGACAAGAACGTCTTACTGAGTCAATAGTATGAACTGGCCTTTTTGATTTTTGTTTTGTCCTTTCCTGATTCCTCTGACTTAGTAGCTGTCAGCTGTGAGGCCGTCGGCGGGGGGGGCCGGCGGCTGGGTGTGGGGGGGATTTAGGGGAATCCGGTCAGCTGCTCCCGCCCGGCCCGTGTCTTCTCACTGTCCCGTGCTCAGACTGGAGGCTCCAACACAGATGGCAGCCTGTCAGATTTATGGCATTGTTCAAACCCACAGAGTAGCTCTGCTTATTTGTCAGGGCACCAAGAAGACGCAGATGAAATGGATGCGGACACGTGAGGGTCCTCCGATGCACGATCACCGAAACCTTTCCAAGAACAAGAAACTCCGCGGGAGTTGAAAACCTGTTAGCCGGATTTTGACCAAACAGTTTAATTTCCTTGCATCACGTCTCTACAAAGTGTCAATTCTTTGGCTATCAAATCTTTTAGTGAAACACAAGAGTCTATATTTGGACTTCTATCCCCTTCTTTGCATTTAATAAATAAATCGGAAGCAGGAGCAGCCGAATGTCTTCCACGCGTCCTCTTCTTGCTCTAACGTGTCGCAACACATTTGTATTCATACCCTTTGAAATCGAAGGAAATTCAAAAATTTGTCGCGTTACAGAAATGAGATTCAAACCTTTGTGTCGTAAATTTAGATCTTGTTTTAAAATTTACGAGAAGGAAAAGAAGATGTGGCCCGCATTTGAATTTTTAAGTAAAAATATTACACCTGTGGCGTGCATTTGTATTCACTGAATGTACCGTGCTAGTTTTGGGCCATGCATAGTTAGCCAGTTGGAGTTTCTTTTTTCGAGCACCAGACTTAAACTGGTCGATTATTCCACATTTTTCAGACTTTCTATTATTCAGAATTGCGGGCCATTTTGCTCAGAGGGAAGTAAATACATGTTGAGAGCGAAAATCCGCAGCATTTTAAGTCCAAGCCTTTGAAATGAACCTCTGTGTTCTTTATTACCCAGCATTTCTAGTGTACTCCCATACTTTACTGCATAATGTCCAAGGATGAAATTCTTTCTGCTGGACTTTTTCTCTCTGTTTTTTTCCCCCCTCTTCTTCTTCCCCCAATTTGCAGGATGTTTTGGCTTGCATAGCAATGAGGGGTGTTGAGAGCTCTTCTTGTTGAAGAAATCTGTATTTTCCCTAAAGGTGTGTTTACTTTCCATTTTCACGCCAAGTCAGTGAAATCCATCCGTCGCTCCAAATAAAACCTTAAGGTGTTCTGTTGCCGCCACTCCGGCTGATGGAGCTCGGCAGTCAGGACGTACGCCGCAATGTGCACCGAGATTCGTAACAAACACAAACACACAAGTTCCAGGCAAAGCCACAAATTATTTTCAGACTATTCGTGTCTGGGGATTAACAGCAGAAAATAAATAAATAAATAACCCAATGGCATAACTCGCTAACCCTCTTATGACCAGAACTATATATAGGTCACCTGGATTTATTTGGGGTTTTTATGGATGTACTTGTTTTGTCCCTCCTTCCAGAGAGCACTTCAGATGTCAGCGTCTGGTTGTTTTATTCGGGATTGTTGCCTGTTTCTGGCAGTGCAATGTCAGCATAATAAAGAGAGAGAGAGAAAAAAGAAAGCTAAACAAAGCCCTTTGGAAAGTAAAACTCTTTCCGGTTCCCTCATAAACCGCCAGGTGGCGGTAGAGGCGCACCTGTAGCAGGAAGTGTAACTGTAGCAAATAGAGGAAAGCTGTTTTCCAAGTGAACCGAGTTGCCGCCAAAAGAAGCCAAATGAGATATTTAATGGCTGCCTCAGTTGATCCCTTATTTTTATTTATTTTTTTAACTCCATTCTAATAAAGGGTTTGTAAAAAGCATAAAAAATGTTTTAAGTCTGAGATGAGTGTGTATTTTTGACTGGACAGCTGTGCAGAATGAGTGGCACTTTCTGGACAGGTTGCATTACAAACAACACAAAAGAGAAGCATAAAAAAAAAAACTGTCAGAAGTTTAAGTTGCATTTTCATTTCATTTTGATCATTTATGTCCTTGGGAATATTCCTGTGCTCTTCGGCGTGCGATTGTCCAAAAGTTGTAGCAGAAATCCATTCATCCCAGGCGTATATTGGAACCCTGGGATGAAGCTTTAAAAGCTACTGCTGCAGTTTGACTTTATGTCTCTGGAACAAGAGCAATTCTCTTTGCTCTTTTGAATAGATGAGGAGGCGTCTCAGATGAATAATTTCAAGTTATGGCATCAACGCTGAAAGGCTCGCCGCATTCCCCAGCCTGCCTCGAGCTGACCGGACAGACCCAATGAGAAACCCGTCCCTCCTTTAATCTGCGTCAAGGTCCGGATGTCCCGCCTGTCCCTGTTCGGTCCAAGGGGAATGGACATGCGAGAGGCCATCTTTCTGTGGTTCAGCTCCGTAGCTTTTATGAGGATAGAAGGCCTTATTTCTGCTGTTTATGTCTTTGTGCTGACAGGCCGGGGGAGGCGGGCGGAGCTCCCCCGTCCCAGTGTCTGCAGGGTCTGTGAGCACAAACAGCCCTAACTGGCCTTGGCAACTTTTATCTGGAGGGAAAAGACACAACTGCACTTCCAAACACCGAAGGACAGACGAAACACAAACCTGAGCGAGTGAGTTAAGGACAGATTAGTTTGGCAGACACTTTCTTAATTGTTGCCGTTTAAACGCCTCCTCTCTGCTACATCGGACTCTTTATGTGGGAGTCGGTGCAGAGTCCCGGCCCTCGCTGGATTTGGGAGGAACTTCTTAGGTGAAAATATGCGGTCACAGCAACCTCGGGTTGCCTTAGCAACCACTAAAGAACGTGGAGTTGCCCTGGCAACAGATGAAATGAGGGGTTACCCTGACAAAAACGCAACAGGAACTCATTTAACAAATCCTCGCTGTCCTTTTTCAGACAGATAGCTGCAGACATGACAGCATATTAACAGAGTGAGAGGCACAATGATGCGCCAGAGTCAAACATATTCCTCCTTCTTCATCTTCAAACAAAGGCTAAGTCCATCCATTTGCTCGCAAGGTTTATGGGGCTCCATAAAAGTAATGATACCCTCTAAACTTTTTTGTTTTTCTGAATTACGACAAAAAGCATAATTGTGAAGAGGCTGTGTGTGTGTGTGTGTTTTAACAGTCCCTTCAAATGAAAAACTGAAAAGTGTAGGACGCGTTTCCCTCCAGTTTTACTCTGACGCCACGAGACGACGTGTTGTCAAAAGTCACCTCATTATGACAGAGTCCACCTGTGCGAAGGTGAATCGCAAAACACTTGTTTTGCCAAAGCATCAGGAGTTTCTTAAGGAACAAATAGTCACTCTAAATGCACCGATGCCGGGGGGTAATTGAGAGATGATGCTCTTCTTCAGCAAGGTGGCTAGAGTTGATGAGAAGATGTATGGATTAAATGAAAAAAAGGCCCTTTTAGATGAGATCTATGAAAGGCAGAAGAAAATGAGGCTCAAAAAACATACAGCCAGAGCTTTAAAGTAAAGGTCAAAGCATATTCATGTATTAAAATGGTCCGCTCAGACACAGAAATGTGTCATTTTGGGTGATGTTTGGAAACTACAACACCAAACCACAAGATGTTTAGCTCTAGTAATTGTTTTATGCACACAAAAAAAGAGACATGGCACAAACTTAGTACAAAACATCCATTTATTTCCTTTTCGCAGTATTAAAGTTAAACATACTAGCTTTTTTTTTTCCCCTCCCCCTCTTTCATTTTGACCATAAACATAAAACAATAGTGTAACTGTATTTAACTTAGAGAAACCATGTAATTTTACGTTGTCACAAAACCTACACAATAGTCATGGCATGCACTGCAGAACAATGATTACACAAGATAATTAAAAGCAAACAGGAGCAACAATGGCAACAGTATTTGGCTGAGTTCACTTTACATTATTGCAACACACGATTCAGGGGGCTGGTAAACTACGGCAGAAGTCACACATTTACATAGAGTAAACACATCCAAAGCTATGAAAACACAGGCGACTCGTCTGACATCACTGTATCCACAATTAAGCGCTGACAATACCGAAACAGAGAGAGGGTTGAAATCGTCCTCAAGCTCAGAGCTTTTTTTTTTTTTTTCAGTCATGTGGGGGAATAAATCTGATCCAAGATCAGTGGATGAGAGCAGTTTAAACCCTACCGAGAAGTGGAAGTTGTGAGAAGGATCTACTCATCTGGTTTCCTCTTCGGCTTCTTCGGGTTGCGGGAGCGGCTCTTGGCCTTGCACAGCGGACATATGGGAGCGTTGCGGTGAATCTGCTGATGGCACGACAGGCATGCCTGCAGAGAAGAGGCCCAGTCAAACACTGTATTCTAGACTTGTTGAGTGCTACTTTTGTTCCGACATGGAGAATCAAGGAAATAATTCATTCGTGTAAAATTTCCCTAAACCGAGTCAAGTAATAAATCCAGTAACTGTATGACTTTGGTCGGACTGATTCGATTGCTGCGGTGCCTTACGCTTATTACATTTTACTTTATGACCATAAATATCAATGTGCTTGGCAGTGATTAAATGTGATAGACTCACACAAAGTAGTGCGTAACAGTGGGAAGAGAATGATACAAGCCTTTCAGCATCTTCACTGATAAAAATCTGAAAAGCGTGGCATCCATTTTCATTCAGCTACTTCGACAAAGAGAGTTTCTAAATCAAACCCATCGTGACAAATTGCCATCAGTCCCCTAATTAATCAACAGATGGTTAGAACGGCCCAACAAAATCCTGATG